CTATGTGCTGCAGAGATCGCGTATAGCCGCCCAGCTAATAAACAGTATACAACTTAGGAAAAACAACCATAAACCGACGTCACACAGCCACAGAGACGAGTACAGACGTACAGAAAAACTGGTCCGCTCCGACGGTGAAAGCAACTATCTCCGTCCAACAGTTCGTATTACTATTATATTCTTATTCTCACAAGTTAACTTAACTTCGTTCAAGCGGATTCCGCCACTGACATTGTACCTTTCGATACACCCCTCTCCTCTTCGTGATCTCTAAAAATGGGCCCCAGTAAAGAAAAATTGCATCATAAAGTTACGTAAAGTCCATTATTGAACAAGCCAACCAGTTAAACAATGGACCCTATAAAAAAAAAATTAGAGAAGCCCCAGCCACAACCCCATAGCCAGGCCAACACTGTCAATATATTTTATATATTAATAAATAATATGACACTGTATGTAGGTACTTAGCGACTGGCGATAGTATGGCCAGTATAATGTATTCTTTTAGAATATTAGAGTCTACTTTACAGGACTTATTAAAGAATGTTGTTTGGCTCTATGGGAAGTACTCAAAGATAAAGTAATAAAATTGGCATACACTATGGAATAAATTGTTGAGATAAATCTATTCTAAAATAAAATGACAAATTTTCTGAGGGCATTTTAATTTTTTCTGTAGGTGTTTTTTACTCCAGATAAACATGGTTGGTTGGAAGTGTCTGAAGGATTCAATAATTATTGGAATATGCTGAACTGTGTGGGACCTACAAATGGAAAACATATTGTTCATTAAGTTACAATTTAAATTATAGATTTGATATAAATTGCATTTGTAAAGAGTCAAGACCAGGAGATATAACTGATAAATTCGATACCATTCGACCCAAAGTAATAATATTGTTAACTGTTGTACTTTGGTCTTTGAACCTCATTAATTTAATGTTCTACACTAATATTATGCTAATTTGGCTATCAAACCTACGTCTTGTTGACCTTGTCTGTTGCACAAGATCCCCTCCATTGTATTCACTACATGACAATAATTTTATATTTTTATGATATCATTACGATGCACATACCATTATATTACCAGAGAACAATATGGCCTATGAAAGTTGCTACAAAAGCCTTAAATTGTATTATACTAATTTTAAATTGTAATTTTTATTTTGTTACCTTTATATAGGCGCGGGCTTGCTATTATCGTAGGTATTTAATGCATATAAGATATAACATTGTGCATAGATCGCGATAGTACAAAATATTAGTGATCTGAGTTCTGATTTTTAATAATAAATAAAACACAAACGGGTGACGGAAAATATTATAAATTGGCAGTATTGCAGTGAATACAGTACGTCGAGTTAATACTCATTATAATAAATATTTATTATAAATAAATAATACGGGTAAAATAATAATAAATTTATTAATTATACCAGGGGTCTCCAAACTACGGCCCTCAAACAAGTTTTAACCGGCCCGTGGCCCGCATAGGACGCATAGGTAAATATAAAAATTATTTCAAAAATGTATTTATATTTTATATTACCCGCAAGGTGGTATCCTCTCCCCTACCCTATACAATATATTTGCCTCAGACCAACCAACGACACCTAATACACTAACTGCCGATTATGCAGACGATAAGGCAATCTTATCGATACACTCTGATCCTATCATAGCTTCTCAAAATCTCCAATCTCACCTCAATCTCATGGAGAAGTGGTACACCGACTGGAGATTTAAAATAAGTCAAACCAAATCGGTTCATGCGACGTTCACCCTTAAACTCACCTCTTGCCCTGATGTTTTTATTTATAATACTCTGATTCCCAGTGCTTCGAATGTTAAATATCTTGGCTTGACCATTGATAAAAGACCGACTTGGGCCCAGCATATTAAGTCCAAAAAAATTAATCTAAACTTACGCCTACGACTACTAAAAAACCTCATCCACAATAATAAATATACTCACATCAATACCAAATTACTAATCTATAAATCCCTACTAAAGCCTGTTTGGACATAGGCCTACAGCTTTGGGGAAACGCAAAAAAAACTAACATAAACAAAATCCAAACATTTCAAAACATCGTACTTCGCAAATTAGTTAATGCCCCTCCCTATGTCTCTAACCACACTATACATAAAGACCTTAAAATGCCGTCAGTCTCTGAAGAAGCTAAAGCATATTATAAACGTTTCCATTTCCGCACTTTAGCCCATCCCAATCCTCTTGACAGAAATCTTGCCAATCCTACTATCCCTGGTAACCCGCCGAGACGGTTGAAACGGAAATGGTGTAGTGATCTATTGCTACCTAATATTAATATAAATATTGATTGAAAAAAAAAAACTGAAAATATAAAAAAAATTATTTTAAAAATGTAAGGCAAATTGAAGTGTTACTAATGGGTGGCCAGGGATGGGCAAGATACTCAAAAATCAGTATCGAGATAGTAGATACTAGATACCTGGATTTGGAGTATCGAGATACTAGATACTCGATACTTGGCTCTAGAGTATCGCGATACTAGATACTCGATACTGGGCTTTGGACTATCGCGATACAAGATACTCGATACTCGATACTCAATACATTTTAATAAAATTAGTCACTGGATTTTTAAAAATTATGTTTATTATTGTGGGTATGGCCACTTCATTAAGTAATTAAAATGAAAAATAAAATAAAAAACATTGACACTATCATGGGCGTAACTAGGATTTAATAGCTACAGGGGCTAGAGTCCTAGAAAACTCAAGTCTAAGATAATTTGTGGGTCGCTTTAGCATCCCTAGCATTTAGTAATCACAAGAGTCCTCTAAAATCAAAATTTAAAATAAACCATAGAATCAAAGTATAACCTAGTCAATAAAAACAAATTTACATTATAATTTATAACTGTATACGCCTATATTTTGATGAAAATAGTTTTAAAATATCATCATCGTTTATTACATTAGATAGTTCTCTTTCTATATTAAGCAAAGCGATAGCCAGATCACTAAATCTGTTTTGGGTCATAGTTTTTTGGTGCATCATTATTATTTTTCTTAGCACTACTTGCTTTTGATTTAAATACGTCAAGACAATTTCTTCCGCTATAACTATAGGTAACCAATTACTTATAAATTTGTTTTGTACATTCACAATAAAACAATATCAATATGTATAAAATATTTATTAATTATGACTATTATGAGTTATTTTAAACATTTTTTTTCTTATTTTTTCGAATTTGGGTTTTAGCTATAGGCTCGATTTGAGGCTAAAATGTAAAACCTTCTAAGGGGGGTAAATACAACTGCAGGGGGGCTAAGCCCCCCCAGCCCCCCTAGTTACGCCGATGGACACTTTCAGTAATAATAACACATTAGTCACTTTTCAAAAGTGGTTTCTGACGAGTAAAAATAATCGTAAACAATTAATTTTTCAAAGTATTGCATTATTGTATCGAGTATCTTTCGATTAAATTAATTCATGAAATACTCGATACATTGACTAAAAATGTATCGCGATACAAGATACTCGATACTTCACATAATTGTATCGAGATACAAGATACAAGATACAAATGTATCTAAGATACGTATCTTAGATACTTGTATCGAAGATACTGCCCAACCCTGTGGGTGGCTGCTTTACTCAAAAAATGTTCACGTATTATGTACAAATATTATTAAGGATATGGATGTATTTTTTTTAAATTATTTGTATATGGGTATATGACTAATCTCATTCACATCTACTTATTGTGCCATGTGGTATAGATCGTAGATGGCATTTAAAAAAAAAAAATATATTTTATATTATATTATATTTATACCTATTTATTTTTATTTAAGTATATTGTAAAGTAAACACATTATTTATATAGGTAGGTACCTATATTATTATAAAATTAAAAATTATATGTGTTGATAAACTTTTGGCCCGCTAAGAGCATTTGATTTTTTTGTGGCCCTTGAATAAAAAAGTTTGGAGACCCCTGAATTATACGATTAGTACTATTGTGTATTTCTGCATTTGTAAAGAGTCAAGACCAGGAGATATAACTGATAAATTCGATACCGTTCGACCCAAAGTAATAATATTGATAACTGTTGTACTTTGGTCTTTGAACCTCATTAATTTAATGTTCTACACTAATATTATGCTAATTTAGCTATCAAACCTACGTCTTGTTGACCTTGGCTGTGGCACAAGATCCCCTCCATTGTATTCACTACATGACAATAATTTTATGATATAATTACGACTCACATACCATATTACCAGAGAACAATAATAATCATATTGTTATTACCGATATTTGGCGACACCTTTATATCATTATTTATAATTATCTATGACCACGGTCTTATAAGATAATAGGTTTGCATATTGTATATTATAAACAATATAATATTTGCATATTATATTATGCATATTTTGTAGCATTAATTAAAATATTAATTAATTAATGCTAATAATAAAGAAAAATCAATCAGTTGTGATAAACTGATACTAAAGTTAAAACTTATAAACTAAAACGCTGAAATGTAAATTGTAAACCATGTGGGCATACAGCATAGCACTTATTAGTTACCTATTACTTAAATACCAAGTTAAATATTAAATGTAGGTGTTTAACAAGTATATATTATAAAATAACGTATTTACGTACCTACATAAGACCTAAATAAACATTTAAGCAAGTTCAAACTCCTATTAAATTGTCGATAAATTGTAGTCGACTCAATGCGATAATTAGTAATGCGATAGTTAGTAATGCGATAAGTTTATTTAAAGATTAGATAAAAAGGTTTACCCTACATATCTGGGTTCAAAAAACATTTGATGTTATAAGAAAAACATTATGGAAATCATTACAGTACAAGATATTCTTTGCTACGTTCCAGAAGTATGTTAACCACCAACATACAACGCATACAATATACAAAGTTCTAAAAACATAGACGTTGTAGGCAACGCATTCACTCGAAATTACAACATGTTGCCGTCTACCAAACAATCTCCAAAATATTCTATGCCGATACAAACGTTTGTTCTAATTTTTTCAGTTTTATTGTGCATATTCAGTTGTCTATTGACTGTTACGTTGTCCTACAAATGGCACATGGACACTAATCAACCAATCAATCGACTTGTAGGTACAGTCGAGGATGCGATTCGTGATTTCAATACCTTCACTGACATAGTTAGATATGAACTTGTAGCCAAACACGCAAGCAATACATACAAATATCAACATAAATCTAAAATTTATGGTAACGACTATGAAGAAGTGGCAGAAGCTTTTGATGAAGGAGATCGATTTATGGACAGAGACTTATTTTACAATCATTTGCCAGCAAATCAATATCAGGCAAATGAATCAAATAAACCAAAAAACCGAGACGGGTGTAACGCAGTGATTGATGCAACAACAATAGTAAAAAATGAATTAAATAGGTAATTTTTTGTATACACTTACGCCCGTATGCATAGTAAAGTACCTATGGGTCACATAATACATTTTAAACTATGCCTTATGTGACACAAAAGTTGACTATCATGCATATATACATTAAGAATATTATTCCTTGTAGGTAAACCTTTTTAATTGGATCTTATTGATATTTAACTAATATGAATAAAGTTTCTTTTTAGTAAGAACAAAATAAATGTAAATCCTATTTTTTTCAATACAATTATTTTATTCATTAACATTAATTAATTTAAGTTAGGTTATGGAGGCACAATAAACAAAAGATCATGGGTATATAAAAATTACAGCTAGTTCGGGCTAACATCACACACACATTATATTGAGTTAATTATTTACATTATTTATATTTACCTAATGGATTAAAACGATAACTCAAAAGATAAAATAAGTATAATATTAACTTAATTAATTGAATTTTATTTTTTAATTAAAGCTCAACAAATGGAAAGGCAGATGTAGAAATAATTCAAGAAGAAAATACAGTCAAAACCTATAGACGACAAAAGTCTAAAAAAATGGGAACTATAATAAAAAAACGTTCTATTGAATCAGATTATGAAGAATCGTACGAAGATTTTGAAGAAACTCTAGAAAATATTGCGGCACATTTTACAAGCGATTCTTCAAAATATTGTACCGAAAAACATTCACATTACTATGGTAATAATCATTTTTAAATAAAACATATAATTTAACTTTAGCAGAGATCGTACCTACATGTGTAGTCTCCGTCTTACTAACGCATAAAATGTATCAAAATATACACCAGTTCCAATTCTGTGTTGTTAGCTTAAATATTAGAGAGAATTAATACATTATCAAACAGTGGCATAATTAGGAATTGGTTCTTGGGTGGGATATAAGTTTTTATAATCTTAGGCTATGCCTCCACACCTGTTTTCTGGTTTAGTTGTCATTATAAATAAAGTATAGAAATCGTCTTGATGCAACATACGATATGCAATGTGCACTTTCAATAAATATACGTCCTAACATTGAAGAACTGTCCGAACATTAAATATAAATGAATTACATGTTAAATTTTAAACAATTAATAAAACAATTTTTATAATATTGTGTAGGTACTGATCAATTTTTTTTGTACTTTTTTGATGTTATTAAATAAAATATCGGTTAGCAATGATGATTTTTTTTCTTTGGGTCGCCAAAAGTTAAATTTAAAATGTTAGGGTCACGCTCATAAAAGGTTGGGAACCGCTGTACTAGACCGGAAACAGATGGGGGGGGGGAAATATCCATTTACCAAAAAATTTTTTTTTCATTTATTTAAACTTTACAATGTTTCAACATATTGCATGTTTTTACAAGGTATTAATTATAATAATGACACGGTTAAGATAAATATAATAGTAATAATTAAATATAAATTCTAAATTAACAATATATAGTCGTTAACAGTGATAGACATGGTTGGTCGTAAAATAGTTTCTATTAAAATCTGAGATAAAATTAATGAGGATAGGTCTGGGAAAGATAAGATTATGTAGGTATTATGAGACAGTGTGCGATAGTATTATGGGGAAATAATGTCTTTAGCTATTAATGTGTTTAGGACTGAGGTAAGGAGGGAAATTAATGGATTAATTAAAGAGCTTAAATTGGATATGAGTTTTGAAAAGGTATTTGTTATTTGTTCTGTGATTTTATTTTGGTTATTGTTGGCTTCATCATGTGATTTGGATTTGGTTCTGGGTTGAGACTGTTGAAACTGAGGGTCAGGATCTTTGACTGGTTGAGATTTTTGAGCAGATTTTTAAATATTGACTCAAATGCTGGGCATCTTTTGAAGTTAGCGGTGTGGTCTTTAGCGCATAGTGCGCATTGGCTGGACTATTTCGGTCCTTGGTGCACTCGATTGTCAGGTGGTTTTCACCACATGTGATACATCGAGCTTTATGGTTGCAATAATTCTTTGTATGTCCATAGTCTTGGCAATTGTGACATTGCGGTGGGTATCAAAATTAAACTGCTGGACATACATTTTGGCATATTATGGGTTAGAAGGTATATAACATAATATAGTCGTATGACGGCATCGTAATATTGTTGAGTTTATATAATATATTAATATCATCAGTGGTTCATCTAGAACTTTGTTTTTTTTTTTGGGGGGGGGGGGGGGGATCTGGCCAAAATGTTACACCATTATTTTGAAAGCACTGCAATATTTAGGATTTTATGTTAGGTCTTCAAATAAAATATAACTTAAATTTGATTCAAAACATGAAAACATGAAAAATTGAAAAAGTATATTTAATTTCTAAAAAAAGTTTTGAACCACCGAAATATTATAAAACAAAAAACTAAAAATCTAGAAAAAAAAACATTAAAATGTATTAAATAATTTATATATTATTTTAAAGTAAACTGTAAACGATTAAGATGTTGTTTTTAAAAGAAATCTATAACCACTTCTCGTATTACATCAATTATTTCTTTATGAATTATTAATCATTAATTGTGCCGGAGCCAGTCTGATTGACGACTTATAATCATTAGTTACTCTTATTAGTACAACATTACAACTACGAGTTTATAACTACCAAGGTGCCCCTCGCTCCCCCTTAAATCCACCACCGAATATCATTATATATTTACATTATTAATGAAGTATTCTTATTAATTAAAAGAAATTAAAGAAAATAATTAAATTTTAATTTCATAGGAAATGGACGTTTGAAACACCCAGATGGCTATTTTAGAGACTGGACCCAACATCGTTGGGATAGAAATCTACACAATTCAAATCATTTCATTTTGAAAAATGGCGAAGTTGAAGTATTAAAACCAGGACTTTATTTTGTTTATGCCCAAGTAAGAACATAGTACATATTATTAAACCGGGTCACATACTTACATAGTATCTATGTATTTTAGGATAGCAATCATATTTCAATAACAAAGGCAGTATTATTTTTTTAATATTAAAATTTCTGTACAAGCCTTAATGCAAAAAGAAAACAACAATTTTTCACTTTATTCCTTCAAAAAATTATTTTAGATTTTCATTAGAGAATTTATAAATACATATTAAAAGGTCGGTTAATATTTTATCATAATATTAACATGTGGCTGGCTGCTACCAGTCGCGAAATGCGACTGAGAGTAAGTAATGCCCTCTGCTTCTAGCTTCCGGATGAAACGGCACAGTCACGATGGACCGGCCTCCGAAATAATAACGCTTGGGTTTTTCGTTATTACATCTTATCCTGTATTTTTACACAAATATATTTTGTACAATGTGGGGGCAGCGAGGATCACGGGTGTGACGGTTGGTCTATGGAGACGGACCGTCGCGGTGAGACCTCGGCACGGCCAGCAATTGCTAGGCCCTAATTACAAATATCAAGGGAATGTTTGCGGGGGAAACGGACGATAACAGTCGCCGTATGGACGGGGTCAGTATACCACGGCGCGTGACTCGTAAGAAGCGGCTACTGTGATATACTAGACCCGGGTTTCGACACAACTTGATCAAGTGGCCGTAGGAGGGGACGTATGGGTGGTGTTTTAGTCTCCGACTGTTGGAGTCGACGGCGACGGTGGATACCGGCGCAGCGCGGCAACTGCTTGGCTCCTGGTACTCCGTGCGGCGGGTACTTGCCGGTCGGGAAGGCGTGTGTGCGGCTGGTTCTCCGAGTACGGCGCCGTGGGCGTATTGAAATGCCGTCTACCTCGACGTGGCTCTCCTGCCGGTTGCGTGTGGCGGTCGACGATAGGCTGCGGTTTTGAATGATTCGGGCTTGGGTCGACTTGTGGCCGGCGTTCGTCGTTCACGATATCCCGCTGGTTGTCGGCGACTTATGGCGGCTTCGTGGATCGTCAGGTCTTCGGGTCTTCACTTCTTCTGGTGTTGAGATGTTGAAGGTTGGTGTGTTGAGAGAAGACTGATGTCGGTGCGGTGAAAAAGTCCGGTGTATATACCCGGCCCCGTACCGACTAGTAAACTCCCGTGTTGCCGCCGCTGTCGTTGTGTTTAGGTTCTGTGAGGGAAGTGGTGTCGTCCGCACAGTTTTGGGGCTCTAGGTATGGGGATGGTTTTGTTCGATGGGTCTTGTTCTCACCTTTGGATCCCTTGTATTCCAGAGTGTGGAACAACCCCGGACCCCCGTACTGAGGGCGCAAAGTCCTTCCGCCGGGCTGTGCTGCCGTTCTGGGCCCTGATTGGTGGACCGTTTTATATG